CCGCCTCCGCCCCTGCTTGCAATAGCTGGCTCTGCCCATGCCCAGGCCTAACCCTCTGACCGAGGTGTTAGGCCTGGGCAGGGGACACCCAGCTCCTCACGATCTCCTTCTCCACCCCTGCCTAGGCCTAACGCCTCTGGCAGAAGCATTAGGCATGGACAGGCGACCCCCAGCTCCCCCCCATCACTGACTCTGCCCCTGCTCCCAGCGATGGCTGGTTCTACCCCTGCCCCGGGCCTAACGCCTCTGGCTAAGGTGTTAGGCCTGGGCAGGGGACCCCCAGCTCCTCGCGATCACCGGCTCCCTCCCTGTTCCACGCCCTCACCGGCTCCCTCCCTGCTCCCCGCGATTGCCGGCTCCACCCCTGCTCCCTGTGATCGCTGGCTCCGCCCCTGCCCAGGCCTAATGCTTGTGGCTGAGGCATTAGGCCTCTCTCCCGCTCCCCGCCATCACAGGCTCTGCTCCTGCTCCCCACCATCGCCAGCTCCACCCCTGCTCCCCGCCATAGCCCACTCAGCCCCTGCCCAGGCCTAACTCCTCAAGGCATTAGGCCTGGGCAGGGGACCTCTCAGCTCTGATTGCAGGCTCCAATCGCCGCTGGGCGCCTACATATGCAAATTAACTGCCATCTTTGTGTGGTTAATTTGCATACTCATCCAATTGGGTGGTGGACATAGCGAAGGTATGGTCAATTTGCATGTTTGTCTATTATTAGGTAAGATTATGTGTTATTTTAGTGCTTCCTGTGTCTCTTGAATTGTATTTGGTCAACATAATGGATGCAGTAGGTGGCACAGAGATAAGTATGATGAGGATTTGGAAGAATGGTGTAGGCTGGGGCTGTGGTCATTCAGAAAGGCCTCACAGAGAAGATGGGGTTCTGATATTGATTCTTTTGACGTTAAATGGACCTTGAAGAATGGGCAGAAGTGGGACAGGTAAGGAGAAGAGGGAGAGAGTACTTTACATACAGTGTCTCATTTTTTTATGCCCTATAGAGTATTTGAATCTCCCCTTTACTAATAAAGGTTACAAAGTTCATAGAGGTTATGTCCCATGGAGTCATAATACAACTGGCAGATGAGGAAGTGAGAATTTAATACAGGTTTCTACAACCTCAAACTCTTTCATAGCCTGTGGGTGCCAAGGTAAGGCATTTGGGTTTTATTTTAAAAGTGATGGGAAGCCATTGTACGGTGAAGGAAGGGAATGACAGAAATTATTTGATTACAGTTAAAGATCACTTTGTGGAAAATGGATTAGCACCAGTGGAATCAGGGAAGCCCAGCAAAGGAGGAAACTGCAGTAGCACTGACAAGAGACTAAATAATCCCAAACAATGCAGTGATGTTTTAGGAATATTTCATACTTTTATCTGAGCCTAAATGGGCCTAATGTTCTGGGAATTTCACCTCACATAAAATGAAGAAGCATCATGATCCAATCCATGGAAGACCTGGAAAACTCTACAGCAATCTCAATCTTACCTGTTTGACATTTTCTAATACCCAATGAATGCTGAGAATAGAAAGTGTGACCTTTTCCAGGTGACCCAGACCTACCCTCTGTTTCTTGGGGGCAAATGAGTAAGGGAGAAGGATAGCAATCCAATGCTTTCATTTCAAAACTCTTTTCTAGTCAGGATTGAATAGTATGACTCAACCAAGTTTACTATCAAGTCTCTAAGATACAGATTACAGAATAATTAAGAGCTAACAGTGTGGCCACAAGGTCAACCACGATGAAATTAGGTAGATCAAGTGCCATCAACACCTTAACAATTTATTTAGAATGACTCCTGTAAATGCCTTCTCTAAAGGTGAATTTACTATGGGGGGAATCACAGAACTTCCCCCACAAGAGGTAGCTCGCGGGCAGCTGCCGAGCATGGCCAAGCACTCTCCCCAAAGGCAACTCTGACCAGTGTCACCAGGCTGCCTGCCTAACAGTGAATGCAAATTTCAAAATGTTTTCCTTCCTCTTTAACAGTAATAATATAAATGGAACCACTTTAAAATGGAGCTGGCGCCCTAACCAGTTTGGCTCAGTGGATAGAGCGTCGGCCTGTAGACCAAAGGGTCCCAGGTCGATTCCGGTCAAGGGCACAAACCTTGGTTGCAAGCTTCTCCCTGCCCGGGCCCTGGCCGGGGCTCATGCAGAAGGTAATCAATTGATGTGTTTCTCTCACATGGATGTTTCTCTCTGTCTTTCTTTCTTCTACTCTCCCTAAAAATCAATGGAAAAATATCCTTTGGTGAGGATTAACAAAAAAAATTTTTAAATAAGTAAAAATAAATAAAATGGAGCTGGAGCTGCCATACCAGCTGAACTGCTTTGCATGTTTTATGCTCAAACCTCGGAATGTTCAAAACAGGGCAAAATAACCTTTGACTGAGCCTAAAGCAACATTGCTTCCCAAAACACTGTTTGCAAAGATAACAAGAAAGCAGTTATTATGACTACTGGACTAAAAATTTAAAACATTGTTTAGAATTAATATCACTATGTTCCCTGCACCAATGAAAATGTCTTCCTTCTGTTGATATCATTGTTCCCCTTCCCATTTTCACAAATGCCTTTGTCTCCTAATTGGAGTATTATTTTAGCTTCTGCTTGAATTAATGTTTCCCAAATAGTTATCCTTTTTTATCTCAATAAATGCATGTTGCCTCTCATTTTACAAGGCCTTTTATTTTTAGGTTAACACTCTCCATTCCTTAAAAAGGACACACCCTTGCCCGGCCCATATGACTCAATGATTGAGTGTCAACCTCTGAACAAGGAGGTCATGGTTCAATAACCGGTCAGGGTACATGCCCGGGTTGCGGGCTTGATCCCCAGTGTGAGGTGTGCAGGAAGGGAGCCGATCAATAATTCACTCTCATCAATGATGTTTCTCTCTCTTTCTTCCTCTCCCTTCCTCTCTCTAAAATCAATAAAAACATATTTTTTTAAAAACACACCCTTCTAAAGATATTTAAGTATCCTATATAATAAAAGGCTAATATGCAAATTGTCCCCTCAGAGGTTCCACGTACCAGGTGTTTGGCCACTGGCTATGACATGCGCTGACCACCAGGGGGTGGCGCAGACCGAAGGAAGGCCCTGGCCAGCAGATAGCAGCTGGGGAAGGAAGGCCCCAATCAGCCCTGATCACTGGCCAGGACTAGGGACCCTACCCGTGAACAAATTTCATGCACCAGCCCTCTAGTACATAATAACTAACATTGGCATAACACTGTGTGGCTTGCAGAATATTTTCATATATATACAGGTCTCATTTCATTACCATTTTACAGAAAAGACTTACCTATTATAGGATCCTCTCTAGATCATTTTCTAGTAAGTGCTGTATTCACCCCACCCCCATGTCCCCTGTTAAGTTCTAGGTTTTGGTGGCAACTAGACTCTTCCACTGCCATGTGCTAATAATGGGGGGAAAGATTTATTTCTTTTCCACACTATCTCAGAACATATGACACTCCATATGTATGAAACTAGAGGCCCAGTGCACAAAATTCATGCACAGGTAGGGTTCCTAGCAGCTGCCAGCCAGTGGCACCTCCCTTCCCCTGGCCACCTGCCAGCCCCATCCCCTGGTCAAACTCCTGGTCGAACTCCTGGTCGAACTCCCAGTAGAGGGGACAATCTGCATATTAGGCTTTTATTATATAGGATTTCCAGGAAGGGGAAATCTATAGGTTAGAAAGTAGATTTGTGGTTGCCTAAGGCTGGAGAAGGGAACAGGAAGTAAGGGCAATGGGTACAGGGATCTCTCCAGGGTGATGGAACTGTTCTAAAATTGGATTCTGGTGGTGGTTGCACAACTCTGTAAATTTACTAAAAGTCCTTGAATTGTACACTTAGGATGGGTGGCTTTTGTGCTATGTATATCATTCCTCAATAAAGCTGTTAAAAAAAAAAATACATGAGAATCTATTAAAACCCCAAAGTATTAAAGGCTACTTTACCATACCTCTCACTACAAGTGGCACTATTTATTTATGGTTCTCTTCCCTTTGACCAGCAAGCGTCAACAATCTTCCAACAGCAGCAGGGGCTAAACTGGAAAGATTTACACACACTTACATTTCTAACTCCTAACACTTGTTCCCCCTAAAATGACAATCAGTTCACCTTTTTCAGCAAGGCGACTTCTTGCTAGGGGAAGTGTTAAGTGACTGGGTTTAGCAGCTCATTGGAAGGGAAATAGAAACGCTGGTAATGAAACGAGACAGGACACAGGACGTAACTGAGGGCAATGTGGCCTCTGGAGAAGGGACAGCACAGGCGTGTTGCCAAGGGAAAGCAAAGAGATGAAGAAAGGGTTTATGCAAATAGCACCCCCCTCCCTGACTCCTACTCACTTTCAGTTTCTATTCTGTTCTCTGAACGTTTTTTGCAGATTTCAAATGAAGAGTTCACAGTGGCTGCCTGAAGCTGGTAACTTTCCTCCAGAGGCTTGCGTCCCACTAAGAAGAGCAGGGTCACCGCAAGAGCCATAGCGAAATCTAGTTACTAGGTTAGGCAGGGGCCTTACTGTCTCAGTGGAGGTAAGAGTAGCCAGGGAAATTCCAGCCCAAGCAAGTTCATGGCTGAGGTCTGACCTTTAATAATTTCTCAACTCAGCTCAAAGAGTTTCAGTTTCCCAGACCCGCTTTCTTAATACCTCTTCCTCTGGTAAAGATACTCTCATCTAAATCTACTAGTATATTGAACTCAATATAAAGACCCAATGCTGGGGACAGGGGAGGAAAGAAGCACCAAGTACCAGCTGCAGCAGTAATCTTTCTGCAGGTTGGAGAGCTAGCCTCAAATCAAACTTCGCAATTCAAGTCAAGCAGGCTGCACCCCTCATTCAGGCTGGGCCCCAGCTTTAAGGATCTGCTCAACTCCAGGGCTAGTGACTTCACACCAGTCAGGCTTTCCTGTGAATTAAACCCACCCATATGTGGAGGGCCCACCGTGTACCAGACTCAGGCTAGACACAGAATATACAGAAATAAATCACACAAGCAACCTGGCATCTCACATAGCTAGAGGCTGATGGAAAGCAATAGCTGATAAACTCATTATGCATAAAAAGAGGACAGCATGCCCAGCCAGTGTGGCTCAGTGGTTGAGCGTCAACCTACGAACCAAGAGGTCATGGTTCGATTTCTGGTCAGGGCACATGCCAGGGTTTCAGGCACAATCCCTCGTAGGGGGTCTGTAGGTGGCAGCCGATTGATGATGTTTCTCTCTCATTGTTTCTCTCTATATATTGCTCTCCCTTCCTCTGTCTCTAAAAATCAATTAAAACATTTTTTTTTTAAAGAGGGCAGCATATGTTATCTTGTAGCCCCAGCATACTACCACAGAGCCTCAAACAAACCAGGCTCAACAAAAGTAGCTCAAAAAATATTGAATGTCAGTTATTAATATCTATGAATGACTAAAAGGGATGGTGGAAAGAGTCATTAAGATATTTCCTAAGTCGCCCCAGCTGGTTTGGCTCAGTGGATTAAACGTCGGCCTGTGGACTGGAGGGTCCCGGGTTCGATTCCAGTCAAGGACACATGCTCAGGTTGCAGGCTCGACCACCAGTAGGGGGCGTGCAGGAGGCAATCGATCAATGATTATCTCTCATAATTGATGTTTCTATCTCTATCTCCCTCTCCCTTCCTCTCTGAAATCAATCAATCAATCAATCAATCAATCAGGTATTTCCTAAGTCACTGGCAGAAGAACTGAAGTCCATCGGGCGTCAGACCTGGCCAGGTTCTCAAACGTCCACATTCTTATTTCCTATAGAGAAGCTTCCTGAATCCCATGGTCCATCTCTATGGAAGAGATACTCAAATGAAACAGTAAACTAGTAAGCAGAAAATGTATAGCTTGTCAACAAATCACCTAGAACCCAATCATTTTCACCACTTCCTCTGTACGGCTTTGGTTCAAGCCACTATGCTCTGGCCTACATTACTGCAAAGCCTCCATCCTCTCTGGTCTCCCTGCCTTGGCACTCACCCCACCACTTCCATTACCCTCACCAACCCCCACCACCCCCTGCCTGCCTAGTCTCAAAGCAGCAGCCAGAGTGACCCTTTTAATGCATAAGTGAGATCATGAGATTCTTCTGTTCAAACTCCGCCAATGCTTCCCAACTCATTCAGAGGGGGCGGCGGGGGAGGGGGGGGGAGCAAAGTTCTTACAATGGCCCTAAGTGATCTGGTCCAAACTTGTCAATTATGTTCCCACTTCGGGGCCTTTGCACCACTCACTGTTTCTTTTGCCTGGAATGTTCTTCGCAGATATCTGCATGGCTCCCTCCATCACCTCCTTCTCAGTGAGGTCTTCATGACCATACCCATTTTACATTGCAGCCACCTATATCCTTTCCCTGCTTAATTGTTTTCATTTTGCTTATCAATACCTGACATATAATATATTTTGTTTACTTACTGTCTCCACTGACTAAAATATAACCTCCATGAGGGGCATGGATATTTATTTATTCACTAATGTATCACCAGAAAGATAGAAGCTGGAAAAAAAGAAAAGAAAAATTAGATGAATGATAAATACTGTTTGTAAAAGCAGGGCAGGAAGGGGAAGAGGGCTGCAAGTGGACAGACAGTAGTCAGGAAGGCCTCCTGGAGGAGATATTTAAGCAAAGACTTGAAGGCAGTGCAGGAGCGAGTAGCTCCATGATTTGTAGGGCTCAGTGAAAAGTGCAAGTGTGGGGCGCTTTTTCACAAATTATTAAAAATTTCAAGATGGCAAGAGCAGAGCACTAAACCAAGTGCAGGGCTCTTGTAAGCATAGGGCTCTTCTAAGCATGAGGCCCTGTATGACTGCACAGGCCACACAGCCATGAACGGTCCCTGCATGCAGCTCTCAGGAAAAGAATGTTCCAGACAGATGGAACAGCAAGTGCAAAAGCCCCAAGAAGGGACAGTGCTTTGGGGACAAGCAAAGAAGCCGTGCATAAAAAAAAAAACATGAAGATACCTGGGTCCCTTTTCTGGATAATGATCCAGTAAGTTCAAGGTCAGCTAGAATCTTTTATTTGTACCCTGTCCCAAGGCATTCTCCTATGCAGGAAGTCTGAGGAACACATCTATCTCCACATCATGGGTATACTGGTACACTGCTACTAGCCACTGACTGTGTTCCACTTCAGATAGCCAGCTTCCAGGTTGCTCCCCCTAGTAACCCAGGGCTAGCAACCAGGTCTCCATCTTCACTCCTTGTCAGAGTATGTGCTCTGAGAATCTCCTTCTACCTAAAATATCTTTTACCACCGAGGGACTGAGGTCCAGCTTGGACTCCCAGCCGGGTGGCGGGGGAGCTGTCATCAGCAGAAAGGTTTCCCTCAGAGTCCCTGCTCCGCTAAGTAAGATTGCAGAGCTGTGCTCTGCTCTTGGCAAACATGGGATGTTCAAGTCTAAGTTTGCCTGGACTCACTCTTAATTTCCAGGTGCACTGCCCTGGGTCTCTAAATCTCCAACATTGCATTACCTACTCCTTTAAAAATTAGCTTAAATATATTGATGATCCTGGTAGTCAATATTAGAAACTTATTCAAATTCTTTCTGCTCAGTCATGGAAAGAAGAAAACCTTTCTACCTTTTTAGCTTCCACTGAAAAATCTTAATTTACAATGAGTAAATCCAGTTAATATCTGCAGATTTTAATTAAAGCAAGGATATCACTTTACTGTTACAGGATCCGTGCTTTTATTGGTTCTACATAACTAGTGGAAGAGCCTCTAAAAACATCATCAGCTGTTTAGTTCAGGGCCCAAAGTAAATGATATATATGTAATAAACCAGTGGTTCTCAACCAAGAGTGAGTTTCTCACCAGGGAACATTTGTCCATGTCTGACTGGGGGTGGGGCTTCTACCAGCATGTATAGGCAGAGGTCAAAGATGCTGCTAAACATCCTACAATGAATGGATAATCCTCCCGCCCCCCCCCTGCCCCAAACAGAGAATTACCCAGTCTATAATATCAATAGTGCTGCAGTTGAGAAATCCTGTAAAAGACTATTATGGCCATAGACTATATAGTTCCCAATTCATCATACTTCAGCTTAACATCTTAAAACTGTCTTTCTAAAACTAATGAAAAATCTGATTTACACTAACAGAAAGCGGTGATAAGGTTATGAGTAACAGGATCTATGTTAGTGCAAAACAGGGGTTAGAAGGCGGAGGCCTGCAGGGTGCAGATCTTTCGAACCTCTAAGCAAGTCAAGGGAAATCACGGAGGGCAGTGGTTACAGAGAGACTGATGTGGGCCGTGGCCAGGGAAATACCATTTCTCTGGATGCCATGGGTTCCTAGGTGCAGTCACCCTGGCCTAGTAGGTATGACCCACAGAGACCAGACAAAAAGACTTCTCCAGTAACCAAGATGCTAAGAGAGCTCTTGATAAGTCTAGGATAAACATATGGATGGAAATTGGAAGTAATATCTAGAGAAAAGCAAATGCTTCATCACTGTGTGGGTTCAAGCTGGTCTCCTTGAATAAGCATACTTGGAAAACATCCTTACCCCTCATCCATCTTCTCATCTGTATAAAGGAGATTAATTACACCTATCTCAAGGCTTATTTGGAAAATCAAACAAGATGGAACAGGACAAATGCAATGCCTGGCACACAGCAGACATTCAGCAAAAGAGAGCTACTGTTATTTGCCAACTCTGCTTTCCTCTGGCTTTGACCCAAACCAGTTCTCACTAATGCACATAAGAACCGCAGTTCTAAGCTCACCTTTAGAAACTCCTTCTGAGGGAAGAACGGGACTATCTATGGCATGATGTCAGTGTACGCCTGCACAGCAAGATCCCTGCTCTCAAAATGTTTAAATGATAGAAGGACCTGCTAGGAAAACATATACCAACTTGCATGTGCAACATACACATTAGTCTCTATCACTGGTGAAGGGCCAGAAAGAGTTTCACTTTAAGAGACAGATATAGATAAGATCACCTTTCTTCCCCTCGCTGTCTAAGGTGCTTCAGGAAAGAACACTGGAAACTGATACAGAACTCAAATGCACAAAGGCCATCACATAGCTCAGAGTTAATTATAAGTAATTTTAATGAAACAATATGTTCCCTCAGGTTTCCATGTTCTTCCCAGAGGTGTAACGCAATATGCCCAAGGCACACACACTTATAAATTTCTAATAAACACAGCTCTCCGGCTCATCTAGACCACCGTTCTTGGCTGCTGCCTAGCGACAGGTGTCACGTTCACAGTGGCCAGTGAGCCCAGGGGTGTCATTTCACTTCTAAATAAAGAAGCATAATCGATCGAACCAGAACATCCTCCGGGAACAACTCCTATTCCTGGCTCATCACAGTGCATGTTGACACAGAATTCCCTGCCCACGTCCACACGTCAGTTTGGCCTTGAGTAACTATATACGTGGTGATATGAACAGAACTGGAAATCGGTTGAACGTAGCTCCGGGTGATGCCAAAACCCAGTCCTCTTTGGCCTGCCTCACGCGACAGATCTGGTCTGGGCAGGGCACCGGGAACTCGATGCACCGACCCGGCCCGCCCCTCTGGCTACCGGACCAGCTTTGGCGACCATTTCTGTCTCCAGCAGAGCGCACGGAGGCAGAACCTCCGCGGCACAGGTGGCTGCCTCCTCGACCCCCATCACTCGCACGCCCCGCCCTGCGCCACCCCCC